GGTGCTGAGTGACCTCTTTTGTCTTCAAGGACAGTCCATTTCCCAGTCACTTTTAACCCACACTGAGCTGACCAGCCAGTGGTAAAACACCCTGCAGGTGTTTTCTTAGCAGTTTTAACAGAGGGCTGGGTCTGGGTTCTCACTCCAACTAAGATCATGCAAACAACAAAGCTGAATATTCCCACACCATGTGGACTCATGGACAGTGTTCTGGGCAGCCACTAGTTAAGCAAAATATATGGAAAACTAGTAAACAATTCCAGAAATGAGAGTTCCAAAATTGGATTTGAGCTGATAAACAGTACAAGGCCAAAAGCTAGAAAGTGGTGGACTGTTTTTACTGTTACCTTTAGGTTGCCAAATAGTTACTTGCAAAGTCATTTTTCTGATCACAGTTGTCATGTGTCTAGTTCCAGTGACATCCATCAGAACCCCGGAATACTACCAGTTTGGGGACAACTTACGAAGAGAGGACATGCTGGAGGTGCTGCGGAGGAACTGGTGCAGGCCATCGTCACTGTCGCTGGAGCTGGCTATGCTGTTCCTCATCTCCATCATGGAGATCTGTGCACAGAGGCTCAGCTGGTGCTCCAGCTTTCTGGTCTTCTGCAAAGCAAAGTTTTAAGAGTTCTGAGATCTGTGGGACTTGAATCATAGATTCCCTCTAAGCACTAGGTGGTTTTCTTGAAATAAGCTAGGGCATAAAAAAGGGTACCTGGTACACATTAAGTGCCCAGTAAATGTAAGCTACGATTTTCATTATTAGCTATTACTACAAATACATTATAAAAGTTTAATATACTCACTAGCCCATTTATTAGCTTGAAATAATAAACACCAACTTCATGTGATAAGCCACCTAGACGAGATGACTTTGATAAGGCACATGGCCCCTGCCTCACTGTCTCTGGAGAACGGTAATTATCACAGAAATTATATTTTGCAAGTTCTCTTTGTCATCACTTTAATTTCCTTCTAAACAAATATGGGAAGATCAAGATCAAATTACAGATCGTTGAAGTTCTATGCAGCTCGGACATTCCACACCTCTCCTGCCTCCTATGAGCTTCCTGGGAGGAGGCCTGACCAAGAACCCATCAAGACTGGAAGACTTCAGGGTTCAAAGGCCAACTTCCCGCTAGCTGGGATCTGTCTGCCCGTATCTGAGGCAGCCTCCCCATGGCCTTGCCCTCCCTGGCCTGTTTCACCCCTATTCCCTCACTATCTTCCTTAAGAGATACTTTTAAAGCAGAGAATACCTCATCCCTATAAATTCTGGTCCCAGAATCCTCACTAAGCAATGGCAAATATAATCACTACAAAATACTTCTGTGTTCTTAGTAAATGATTACTTGAATGACATTACAAGAATCCCCACTGTGCTTAACATATGGCTAATGAAAATTCAGGAAAATATATACTTCATAAAGTCAGGTATACTCACCTGTATGTTTATTTAATAAAATAAAAAACATTTTATTGAGCCTGTGGCTCAAGTGGCTAAGGCGCCAGCCACATACACCTAAGGTGGCGGGTTTGAATCCAGCCCAGGCCCGCCAAACAACAGCGATGGCTGCAACCAAAAAATGGCCAGGCGTTGTGGCGGGCGCCTGTGGTCCCATCTACTTGGGAGGTGGAGGCAGGAGACTCACTTGAGCCCAGGAGTTGGAGGTTGCTGTGAGCTGGGAGGCCATGGCACTCTACCCAGGGTGACAGCTTGAGGCTCTGTCTCCAAAAAAAAAATAAATAAAATAAAAAAAATAAAAAAACTTAAAATGTGCTTACTGTATCATTTAAGGTGGGATCATTCAATGAGTAGAGCTTGTTCGTGATGTCTTTTCCAATGAGATACCTAAATATTTCATAGAGGAAAGGCTCTGATTCCAGAAAGTAAGTTAATCTTTCTCTTGACCAGCATAAAAATTTGCAATTATCATCTGCAATAATGGTGACCTGTCAAAGACACAAGCACACAAGAAAAAAGTACATGTACGTATGTGAATTGTGACTGTAGTTATTTGGGAGGACAGAAGAATAGAATAAGTCAGTGGCTATTATCACAGTCATGCTTTTTCAAATGAATTAAAATAAGACCCAATGCACCCAGCATCTGGAACTATGTATAAAATTATGTTTAAAAATAATCAATCTGCAGACTGAATAAAAGCAAATTCTCTGAGTTCTGCTATTTTGTTTTGTTAGATCTGGTGACAGAACAGTCCCTGGGTCTACAGGACTACTGTAGAGTATACTGCACTGAAGCTGTAACTGCACCTGTGATTTATAGCAAATATTTCTTTATACCTTGTAGATTACAATGAGATTTAAGAATATAGCTTCAAGCAAATGAACTGAGGTAAGACGACTGAGGCAAACTGTCAACGAAAAGATCTTCCGCCAAGCTGACCCCACAAACACACACTAGAAATTGAGAAAACTTCAAGGGCCCAGGCTGTTGCTCATGAATGTGGCTGGTGATGGTCTTTCTCTCCGTGTATTTCTAGACTGCAACCTTTTAAGGCCAGTTCCAGGGTAGTACGATGGGGATCTTCACAGAGACTCCCCAAATACACTTAGAACGGGAAACCATGTCCTTTCCTTAAGTAATGCTAAACAGGAAGGCAGGAAGGCACCGTACGTGCAAACACAGAGGTCCAGTATCCTCAAACAAATCCCTTCTCCAGAGTGAGGGGCCATATGCCCTCATAGCCCAGGGTCAGGAGGCCTTTCCTCTCATCACATCCTCTTCCAAGCTTCACTATGGCACCCTTATCCCTAACTTCAAACTCATCTGCTGACACATCTGTCCCTCCCAGGACTCTAATGGTAGGGACTACATACCTTCATGTCTGAATGCCTGGATTCCAACACTGAGTGATGCTCAATGCATGGTTATGTGATAGAATTAACAAATGAACACAAATACTGTAGAGGGCAAAAAACATTTTTACAGCCTCAACATTAAATCCAATCCCTGTTCTACGTGGAGATTAAGAAAAGTTTGCTAAATTGACATGAAGTCAACTGGGTGTGGTGGCTCACGCCTATAATCCTAACACTTTGGGAGGCTGAAGTGTGAGGATTGCTTGAGCTCAGGTGTTAGAGACCAGCCTGAGCAAGGACAAGGCACTGCCCATGCCTCCCTACTAAAAATAGAAAAACTAGCCAGGTGTGGTGGTGTATACCTATAGTCCCAGCTGGTTGGGAGGCTGAGCCAAGAGGACAGCTTGAGCCCAAGAATTTGAGGTTGCCATGAGCTATGCCACCATAGTACTCTACCCAGTGCTACAGAGTGACTCTCTGTCTCAAAAAAAAGAAAAAATTGACATGAAGTCCTATCTGGGCCTCAGAGCAAGCATTTCCAAAGGAGTTCTTTCTCCTTTGTTAGTCGCAAACTTAAACATATTTCAAATTTTCAAATGACAAGAGGGTATTTAGGTCTACCAAGAGAGGATTGAAAAACCCAGCCTCTCTCCTGCATCAACAAGCTGAAATCTGACTGTTAGTAAATTAAAGCACTTGGCTATCTTAAAAAGTGGGCCAATGCTCCTAAAGTAGAAACCCCCCATATCAAACATACTTAGATTTAAGAAATGTATCGGCAACTCTAAGATGTTGTAACACTAAATTTCATTCATCCTGTCAATGTATGTTACCACGCAGGGACTTTACGCTATTCACGATGCTGCGGTTACAATGGTGAACGACAAAGACCAGACCCTGGCCTGTGTAGCCGACATTCTAAAAGGGGACACTGATCACAGAGAAAGAAATGTGACAATCTCAGGTGGCCACTAGTGTTTTGACAACAACAGAACAGGAGAAAGTGGTGGAGAATGACTCAGGAGTGGGAGTCCCACATCACACCACTCACTTGGTACGTGAAATGTACTTGTAAAGATTTGAAGCACTTTTACATCTAACAAGTATGTGGATGAAGGCACTCAAAAGTGCCTTCAAAGTGAAACAGATAATATTCGTCCCCATTTTTCAAATGTCCAATGCAAAGGACCAGAAAATGCATTCACAAGCCCAAGTTAACCAGTGGCAGAGTAAGCTCTTCTGACTTTCAGTCCATACGTACTTTCCCACCAACTCAAAGTCCACCCAACACAACCAATACTCATCAAGACCATCACACAGACAGTCCTCCAGCCCAGTGACCACAGGGTGGCTGCCCGGTCCAGGAAGGGCCCCATTACATGGTAAAGATCAGCTGAATATATGTCACAGAGCCTGCATTCAAGTAGAGCAAGCTGAAATAAATAAAGAAATGTAATCAAAATAGCAAAATTTATAGGAAGAGAAATAGAAGAAATACAAGCAAATCAGCCCTGAGGAACTCCCAGCAACAGCAGGTACAGGTGAGTGAATGGAAGGCAACCGGAAAATGTTCCGCGGGAGTAACATAGGAAAGGCGGGCACGGAGGCCCAGCCACGCAGCTCAGCGCTAACAAGTCAGGAGGCCTGAGATCTCTTTTTTTGTGCCCAGATGTCATCGATGACTCTGGAAAATATAATTCATGAGCAATGGGGAAAAGAGTTTCAAAGAGGACTTGAAAATCACTCAGGAGAAGAAGAAGAGATCATACTTAAGTGGTACACAGGGCATCAACTTCCCTTCCACCGTCTGAATCACGTCAAGTTTCCTCTGAGGCAAAAGAGTAAAGGGTATTTTCACTATGACACTATAATTTGCTTAGCAAATTCATTTTTATTGCTGGTTGCAAATTACTTTAAGCCTCTTTAAATAATTACTGAATATAAATTTAGTAACAGTATTCAAATAATAAGCTATACTAGAGTCTGAGGAACCCCCAGACCCGTAAGGGCAGGGATATTCAGTTGAGGGCCGGCAGTCAGGGTGTGGACTGAGGTCATCTTGCTTGATGGCTCAAGGCTTCATCTCTGCCACATAGACAGCATCATGTAATGATTGCCTCTCACAACAGGCAAGGAGAGTATTTTTAATGAGAATTTTTTATAAAGCAATGTAAGAATGTTTAAAGCTCCTATAAAATAAATTCACTTCTTAAGTTATAGGTACTTCAGCAGTGCTAGGCTGGAGTCCATGTGAAGGATTTTACTGAAGAGATAAAATGGTGACAGAAGGCCCAAGAGGTATCTCTGGTGGGGAATGAGAGTGAGTGTCTGCAACTGGGTTGCCGGGATCACCTCAAGGCCCTGGATCAGTCCCTCCTTTTAGATTCCAAACCAGTTCTACAGACTGGCATAAAGAGAAGACGTGGGCTCTGTGCCAGGAGAGTGAGGGTGTCGGAGGGACTTGCCGCATGGCTCTGCATCTGAAACAGCAGTCTGACCACAGGACTGGCAGACTCCTGGGGAAGGCTTACTTTTTTCATGTGTGATATAGCATTTCACACACCAGAACATGAAAATATCCCAGAAGTGGTCTATTCAACTAATGCTTTTGAGTTCTCATAAGCACTGAGATAAAGCAGATTCGAAACTGGTATATTAAACTACTTTGCTTCGCTGAAATAGCTACTTAATACTAAGATAACGTTTT